TTGAGATCATGATTCAGGCATTATTGGAATGGGGCAACATCAACAACTACACATTTGTTCTATTCTCTTCAAATTTTCAACAAAGGTGTTCAACAACAAATTGCAATGGCCTTTAACATTCAAATTTTCAACAATGGTGTTCAACAACAAATTGCAATGGCCTTCAACAAGCCCACCAAGATTCAACAAAATTTTAAATTATTGCAAGGCCAAGAAAACATATTACAAATCTATTTTATCAAACACAATTTCAAGGCTCAATAGTATAAATTTCAGGGCAACAAAAGCCAGATTTCTTTAGCAAAAAAAAACAAGAAGAAGAAGCCACAGCGTGAACAATGTACGCAAGAGCCAACTGTGTTCAGGACTGAGCAGATCAGCGGCTCAAGGTGCAGCGAGCAACGGCAGTCCCACCACGGAGCAGTACCAAAAATGCGAAGTCTGGATTTGGCATTGGTCGCCGCTGATTCTAAAACCAAGAACAGAACAAGCCTAAGACGGAGCAGGTAGCTCGCGTTGAAATGGCGCAGTAGCGAGGTGCTGGATTGGTGGCAAGGCCGCGAGTAACGGAGCACGCGGCGTGGGTTGAAAGCCACATGCATGGGCCAAGTGTGAGAGAAAACCAACGACCACGATGAGTTGGTCAATGGCAAGCTGGGTTGGCGTTGGTGCAAGCTAGCAGCGGCTTGGGTCGCGACAGTGGTGTTTGGATAGAAATTGAAATGTCAGGAGGCGAATTTAGAGATCACGACATTTTGTTGGGGTCGAATTTATCGGCTTTGGAGAGCGATTTGGAAAGTCAAGGATCTCATAACAGTAATAGACGAATTGAAGATCTGTTGAAGCGATTAGATCGAAGGTTTTCAGGACGCCGACTCAGCATTAATCGTTCAGATTAGGAAGATCACGACCTTAGTTGCAGGAATCGTGCAACCAGGTGACGAATCTTCATAAGAAACGCGATTCTGCGTTTCTTAGAAAGAAACGTGTAAGAATCGCGTTTCTGTAGAGAGAGAAACGCGATCCTGTCCAAGATGGGATCGTTGGTGGAAATAAAACTACTCAGAAACCCAGACAGAGAGAAGCCCTAACCCATTGAAAACAGAGAAAGAGAAAACACACAAAAACCCTAACCCATTGAAGACAGAGAATGACAAAGGGAAAGGGGAAAAACCTGTTGAAGCCCTAATCGAGACTAGATCAAGGTATGTTCTTCCAATCTATGTGTATTCGACTATCTCTCTCCCTCTGTTCATCGTCGAAGTCGAACCTGTTTATCATCTTCTTTGACTCTCTCTTTTCCTCTATTCGATGCTCTTTGTCGTCGTCTCCTTCGTCCTTCGTATCTCTCTCTCTCTCTGTTCATCTTCGTCTTTGTTTCCCCTCTCTCTCTCTGTTCGTCTCTCTTGTTCCTCCCCTCTATTCGACTCCTTTCCTTCCCTCTTCGTTGCTGTCTCTCTCTCCCTCTTTTATTCTTTATTTTATTTTTTTTTACCTTTTTTTGTTTTTAATAATAAAAAAACCATTTTACATCTTTTATTTATTTTTTTATATTTTTAATATTCTCAATATCCTAAACATTAAGATATAGAATAAAAAAATTATAAAATAAAATTATATATAATAAAAACATTATAAAATAAAATATGTTATTTTTGTTTTTGTTTATTTTAACATAATTTATTATTCCTTATTTATTATAATTTTTTATTTATAATATATATCAATTAAAAATAAAAAAATAAATTAACAATAATACATTATTTAAAAAATATAATAAATAAATAAAATAATTAATGTATATTAAAATAAAAATATTTATAAAAAAATATATTACCGCTCCCCGAGGCGCTTCCGACTTTAGAAACTTCTATCAACTCCCACTCTCGCTCCCGCCCCCGCTCCCGCTTCGTGCAACTAAGATCACAACAGAGATGCCGTACTCGGCGACGGAGCTCCGCCAAAATGGGCTTTGTTGCTCGTTGGCTGCCTTTTTGGTCTCATTACTGGTCTCTGTGTTGTTGCCTTCAATTGTGAAGTGAGTCATTGCTTGTTTTCCATTTCTGCTCTATTGAATTTGGATGTGAATGGCTGCCTTCAATCGTGAATTTGGATTTGAGTGTGTTGCTACCTTCAATCGTGGAGTGGGTCTTTGTATTGTTGCCTTCAAGCAAAATATATATATACATATATAGATATGAGGAGGCCCAATTTTTAAGATTTGTTTGTTTGCAAGAAAGCTGGGTTGGTCTCGGTTTTAGAGAGAGAAAGGACCGAAATGGGTCTTGCCACAAAGAGAAGGATTAGGGTTTTTGTCCTTATTCTAAAAAAATAAATAAATAAGAGCAAAAAGGGAGGTTTGGTTCTGATGGCCCCTTAGGTGTGCTAAGGATATATATATATATATATAATATGCCTACGAATATTCTGGAGAATCTACATAAATTATGTAAGTTAAAGAAAAAGCAAAGTCAAGTTTGACTAAAAAATAATGTGAGCCTTACCTTTTCAAGAATAAAAAATGAAGGATAATGGGTGCTTTATTTTTTCTTGGAGTGGAGAAGTATTCTGATGAGTGCCTTATTTTTGTTTGGAGTAAAAAAAAATATTTTCACATATTCTAAAAAAATCAGTGGCGCGAGAAAAAAAAATTCCGCCTTATTAATCGTCAATTTTATCCATAAATTACGGTGAGTCAACTTTATCCATAGGCCATGAAGACAATAATATATTCCAGAGGGCGTGATGCGAAGCATGGCCGAAGAAGTAGAATTATGCCTGTTCGAGAAATTCAAAATTTCTCATACATGCAAGGGGCAAAATGTAAGAGGGGTTAATTTGAGCCCACTAATTAATTGGGCCCAATCAAAGCCCAAAATTTGGTGAGCTTTGAGAAATTATTGCCAAATGGGCCCAAGTGAACTCTATTGAACGAGTCCATAAGAAAGCCAACAAATTGGGCCGAGGAAGACTTATTGGGCATATATCGCTAAAGAGAGTCTAACAAGCCCATCCAAAGAGGCTCAGATCATATGGGCATCCGAGAAGGTTAACCGTTGTTTTTAGAAAAGATGAAACCCTCGGAGGAGATCCATTCTCCAAGGTATTGGCTTAGCCTTGAAAGGGTTTGGAACCATGAATCTAGAGACCTATTTGAGCTCAGACTCGAAAGGGTTCAAATCCACAAACCTACAGATCCGAAGCGCTTGACTTCAAATGGATTCGAATGCAATCTAGAAGTTGCTCCGTTAATGAGTCCCAGAACACTTGTGGGCTCGGAGCTTTTTTGGGATCTACGCACCAGAACCATGGGCATGACGGAGTCTGAACAAGGGACCCGATCTCAAGGACGGTAAGTGGAGACAAATTCACTCTTCAATTAAACTAGCCTGTACCCAGGTTGAGGTGGCACGATCTAGAGGGTCCTTGAGACTCGGCAATATTTGCGGCAGGGTGTTTTCTTGAACTACCCCTGACCCTTCTGCGGCAGGACGTCCTCTGGGACTACCCCTGACCCCTTGGGATGATTGGGGATCATTGGTTAGGTGTGCCTAAGAAGAAGGGTTTGCCGAGAGGTTGATCTCCTCTTCGAGGGTTTTCCTCATCCTCGGAGAGGTCACTTCCTTGGACAAGGTGATTAGAGAGAATATTCCCCACGTGCCTTACACATGGGCTCCATCCTACATTATGAGGTGCTTATAAATAGCACCCACCCATAGCTTTACAAGGGTTGAATTTTTTAGAGACATTTCTTGGGAAAGAACTAATTTCCCTTCTCCATTATCTACCTTGAGAGTGAAAGTGGGAGATCCATAGGAGAGCCTTGCCATTATTCTCTTTCTAACTACTTTGTCTTCTTCTTCACTCAATTTCGTATCTCCATCATCTCTTTGCTATTGTGTTCTTAGTTGTGACTGTTGAAGAATTTAAGCCTCTCATCATTTCTAGATAATTCAAGTTTTCTTCAAGGATCTTCGAAGATCTTTGAATTTTCTAGACCGCATTCTTGAATCCTCTCATACAATAGGAAATGGTTGTGTTGTTGGCGTAGTAATTCTTTGAATAAGGGCTCTAATTGAGACAATCTAATATATTACATCAGATTCCTTGCAGAAAACTATCATCTCAAAACTATAGAACATAAGTCACTGGTTTAGAAAAAGCTGAAAGTGGCCCTAATTTATTTTCTTGTTTTCTCTTGTACTGACTTGATCAAATGATAAACAGCTGTTGATAGACCTCTAGTCTGTTATTTAGAAATGTATGAGACGAAAAATTCTGTTCAATACATGGAAAACTACATTAGCTAGACATTCCTATGATGGAAAATACATGGGAAAGCTTGTAAGAAAGCAAAAATTCACCAAAACATGTCAATAATTTAATATGTTGCTGATAATCTTTGAATTGGCATGATGCAACAATATTTTCTTTGGTGCTGTGACTGGTGTTTCAGTCAATCATCACGTTGACAAGGGAAAATCGAGAGCGACTTTTGAAGCAACTTTAGTCATTGCATGTTTTCTAATGGCCTAGCGTAGCGTTTAGTTTTTATTTATGAATTATGAAACTTGTGAATAGGACAAGTGTATCCATCTTCATCTTTGATGGATTGCAGAACATGGAGATTGATTAAAGCTATTAATGTGAAGCGTGGTTTAGAAACATTGTGGAAGCTTTCCATAAATTTTAATATTTAAATAATCTACTTAGAATTTTGGTTCCAGTGACATTTTTAATTTTGGTCCATAATTCAGAATATTGGGATTCTTTTAAGGAATATCTGTATGCTAGTATGGATCAAATTGCCTGAAGAAAATTACTAGGAAGAGAAATACATGCCAAAAGAAAGAAAAAAAAAAAAAGGTTTGGAAGATGGATATGGTAATATTTATCAGGATATGCCAATCTTGAATATATAATGCGGGCATTTATTATTTGATTTCATTAGTTTTTTCTTTTCAGCATTTGATGAAATGATCTCCTTGTAAAATGGCCAGGTGGGTAGCAGATTTGGAGAGAGCACACTAAAGCTGGGATCCATGCTAACAGATGGGCAAGTTGGGAGGTTCAAAGACAAGTCAGCGGCTGCCATGTCGACATTCGGTGACATTCTACCTGTCCAAGCTGCAGGTCTCCTTTCGTCCTTCACAGCTTCCAGATCAGATTCTTGATTACCCGTCCACTGACTCCTGCATTCAGTTTTGTCGTCAAAGAGAGATGCATCTTTGTAGTTAAGTGAAATGAAGCTAGGAGAAATTCCTACAAATCTGGAGACGCTGTTGACTGGATCACACACACTGTTTAAAGCAAGGGGACAAGATATATTTGTTTTTTATACAATAGGGGAGAATTTGGAGCAGTCGAAAGTACTTTGGGGGTTGATGATGTCTGCAAATAGATTAATTTCAGTTGTAGGATATATATTATTTTGTTTTTCAAAATTTGCTGTAAAATTAAAGAATGGAAGAAGATTGAAGGGAATTAATTCATGGAGACATAAAGTAAGAAGATATTGTGTTTGCCGGTCTATATTTTATGGGGACGGCTAATTCAAATATATAGGACCAGATGAATTTTTCTGGCTGTGACGGATTTAAACTGTGTTTGAGGGTAAGCTCAACTTTTTATAATTATAATCAACAGCCGGATTGGGTAGTAGGAAGGACAGGAAATAACCAGGCTCTATCATGAAATGAGGAATATAATATATATATATATTTTTGGTTAGAGAAAATTTATTTGAGGGGAGGCTATCTCAGTCCATGCAAGTCGTAGGTTTACTGACTTACAATGGACTTATATATCGTCCACCAGAGAGGACTGCAGCGGGAATTGAACTTAAGCTTTGAAACGAAGAGTTCAATACTTACCCCCTACCACTGGCGGTATTAAACCACAGTGTGTTTTAGTAGTAATTGTTTGATAGAAGACATATTTTTGGGATGAGTAACACCTATCATATCTAGGGATGACAATGGATAATCTACCTTATGAGTATCTATGGAGACTCAATTTAAATATATGGGTTTTTTTCTTTTTTCTTGTCTGTCGAGGCGGATAAGTGATATTCTTTAAATCTCTATCGGGGATGGATATTCACTATTTTTTTCATATTATTTTTTTTAATGTTATTTTAAGGTACATCAGAAAATGATTTCTTCATATGTTTTTACCACTCTATTTACAATTAGAGTTCTAATTCTCACTCTCTCTCACCCTCTTACTACAGCAACGGCGATTTGCGATAGTGACAATCTAGCGGCAACATGATTGTGATTATTGATCAAAAATACGTAATTAATCATAATCAAAACATGGAAATTGAAAACAAAAATGTACAAAATTTCAATTAAGGTGATCGCTAGTTAAGATGAAAATTGAAAAATTCAATCTAAGGTTACCATCAAATCAGAGAAAAATTCAATAAAACAAGTGCAGGAGATATTGAAACAAGAAAATTCATTCTATAATACAAATAATTTTTTTTAAAAAAAAGAAAAAAAATGGAAACGAGAGTAATAACTCACCTTCAGATTATCGAACATCAATTAATAGAGATGAGAAGCAGATACATAAAATTAAAAAAATTAAAAAAGAAGATGGATTTTTTTTGTATGAATATAATTTTTCTAAATAAATTTTAAAAATTCTAAATATACATAAAATTTGACAAGAATAATGTGACAATGTTAATTAATGTGTATTTGATTTTGTTGTTGAGCCAAATAACATAAAATTGGGTAAATTACAAAGACACCCCTTGAGGTTTTGTTAAAGTACAGATTGCTCTCTGTGATTTGAAAAATTACAAATACCTCCTTATTAGTATTTTTTATTTAACAAAATTAACTAAAAAAATGAAATTCATAATTGTTCTCCTATACAATAATAAAATTACCTAAATTATTAATTGAAACATATTTATAACATCATTAAAAACTGTTGTGGGTGTCAATTTCCGACCACACTGCCAAACTAGTATTCAGCTGGAGAGCACCGGCAAAATAGATTAAGCTCGAACGACCTGTCACAAAAAGATAAGAATCCCACGATGGTTTATCTACCCGGGGCACTCCGACAATCAAGTCAGTTATCTCTCAAAGATAGCAAAAGTGCTTAACTCACTATTCAGAGCATAAAAGCATACCTTAGACCTATGGGGGTACCTCACTTTTATAGCCAACACAATCCTAATCCCAATAAAAGTCTAGCTCCAATGGACTTAGGATTACTGCTAATCTTAGACTCCTAGTAGGATTGGGATAAACTCTCTAAGAGTCTTATCTTTACCCAAACTGAAGTCATCTCTCATTCTAGGACTCTTGTCCCTTATCCGCATATTCTGGATTCCGGTTTCTTCGCAGATAACCTCGGCCTAGCTGAGATGATCTCGGCGTCATGACCAGGACACGTGGCACCTCGGTTGGCATAAAAGCATACCTTAGACCCATGGGGGTACCTCACTTTTATAGCCAACACAATCCTAATCCCAATAGAAGTCTAGCTCCAATGGACTTAGGATTACTGCTAATCTTGGACTCCCAGTATGATTGGGATAAACTCTCTAAGAGTCTTATCTTTACCCAAACTGAAGTCATCTCTCATTCTAGGACTCTTGTCCCTTATCCGCATATTCTGGATTCCGGTTTCTTCGCAAATAACCTCGGCCTAGCCGAGATGATCTCGGCGTCATGACCACGATACGTGGCACCTCGGCTGGCACTTCGGTGACACTTCGGCCACGTGTTGTCATTCAAAATTTATGTCCCCACAACTGCCCCCTAGGTTCTATTACCTCAGCATCCTGAGGTGATGGAACCTATATCATTTCTTCCATTTAGCACATCGGCTAAGCTCACTCCATTATTCATTACCGAGGTCATCACTCGTCGGCTCAATATGACCAAGACCTATAGTTTGCTTTCATCAATACTTTGGAACCAACAACCAAGTTCGTTTAAGTTTCTCAACCGAAATCGTCCTCCTAGCCGAGGTATTTGCTTCATTAAATCAAGAACTCCAAGATTTTCATCACGTGTATAAGCTGGCACGCATAGTATTTCAACCGTTTCTGCCACGCGTCTTTCCCCTACTGAGCCGTGTCTGATACGCGTCATGAAGTCGTCTCGCATCTGCGTACGCCGTCTGACAAGCATGTCATCCTAGGCACACTAATTGCCATTTTGCCGCCATTCTGCGTGTTTGATCAAAATCACTTTACTCTCTCAGTCTTTTTACTTCTGCATCTTCGTTCTTGTTCAAACTTTCTCTCTCAAATCCTTCATTGTTGCTTTCACGAAGCTTTCTGCAACCAGTTTCATTTTCTCCCTCCGGCGAGGCTTTCGTTGTACTTCTTTGCTTACTACCACCGTCTGACACCGGCGTACTTCACACCGGCCTTTTTGTAATCTAAACAATCACCCTTCAATGTTAGGCCAAAGTGCCTTCTTTCCTTTTTTGAATGTATTCTTTAATTTCTTCTTTCAATGTGGTTGTATGTGTCTTCTTTTTACTCTTGTATGCTTCTATGTTTAAAATAATTTGCATGTCTTCAAAATACACCTTAACTGTGCAATCTTCTCGAGGTGTAACACCTCGGTTATACCCACTAATCGATTTATCTCAACCTCGGCTTTAACACTTGAAAATATTTTTTACAATATTTTCACAAGTGTTATTTACAACTCGATACTTCACTCTTAGCAAGACTTCTGTCTTCAAATTTCTCCCAAGTCTTGGCAACATGGTAATCCCGGCAAGTATGTAGATACTTCTTTCAACATAACCTTGGTTTAACTTGTAAATTTTTCTCAAAAATTTCAACAAGTGTTAAACCAATCTTCCTTCAAAATGACCTCGGCTTAACTTCAACTTTGTAAGCTTAAATTTTAACAAGCGTTAAACGTATCCTTGGTTTAACTTCAACTTGTAAATTTCAATTTCAACAAGAGTTAAACATATCATCAGTTTAACTTCAACTTTTTTTACAATATTTTCACAAGTGTTATTTACAACTCGATACTTCACTCTTAGCAAGACTTCTGTCTTCAAATTTCTTCCAAGTCTTGGCAACATGGTAATCCCGGCAAGTATGTAGATACTTCTTTCAACATAACCTTGGCTTAACTTGTAAATTTTTCTCAAAAATTTCAACAAGTGTTAAACCAATCTTCCTTCAAAATGACCTCAACTTAACTTCAACTTTGTGAGCTTAAATTTCAACAAGCGTTAAACGTATCCTTGGTTTAACTTCAACTTGTAAATTTCAATCTCAACAAGAGTTAAACATATCATCAGTTTAACTTCAACTTGTAAATTTCAATTTCAACAAGTGTTAAACATATCATCGGTTTAACTTTAACTTGTAAATTTAAATTTCAACAAGTGTTAAACATATCATCGGTTTAACTGCAACTTGTAAATTTCAATTTCAACAAGTGTTAAACTTATCATCGGTTTCAACTTCAATTTGTAAATTTAAATTTCAACAAGTGTTAAACATATCATTGGTTTAACTTTAACTTGTAAATTTAAATTTCAACAAGCGTTAAAGATATTCTCGGATTAACTTCAACTTGTAAATTTCAATTTCAACAAGCGTTAAACATATCCTCAGTTTAACTTCAACTTATAAATTTCAATTCCAACAAGCGTTAAATATATCCTCGGTTTAACTTCAACTTGTAAATTTCAATTTCAACAAGTGTTAAACATATCATCAGTTTAACTTCAACTTATAAATTTAAATTTCAACAAGTGTTAAACATTTCATCGGTTTAACTTCAACTTGTGAATTTAATTTTCAACAAGTGTTAAACATATCCTTGGTTTAACTTCAACTTGTAAATTTCAATTTCAACAAATGTTAAACATATCATCAGTTTAACTTCACCTTGTAAACTTAAATTTCAACAAGCGTTAAACGTGACATCAGTTTAACTTCAATTTGTAAACTTAAATTTCAACAAGTGTCTAAACCAATCTTAGCTTGTGAAATTCCAACTCCCAAGCATCATTCTTCAGCCCTTTGCCCCCTAATGTGAACTTAAGTTCCACTTAGGTTCTCATTAGGTACGTGGCTTTGACCTCGTCGCCGATGTATGATTCAACCAAAGACTGGCCGAGGTTATCAACCTTGGTCTCTTTATTAAGGTACTCAGCTCCAATCTGTGTCTGATTTTGTCGATATGACAAGTCCAGGTTAACCCAACTTAGTTCGACTTTATGCAAGTAAAGTTTCTACTCTGTCATATAATAAGTCTAAGTTATTCGTTATGTTTCAATCAGAAACATCGTCATAGGACTGGTCGGTCCTATCGCACAGATTTCAAAAATCAAACTAGCACTTTATTATTGCTTCAGCCATTATGCCCCATTGCTGGCAACCTTTCTCAAGCTGAGGTCTCTAACTTTGAACTCTCTTGGGCTGACCTTCTTGTTGTAAGCCCTAGCAAGTTGTTGTTGGTATGCCCCCAGTCGAATTGCTATTCTATCGCATGTTGCAGATGGATTTCAAAGCATTTTTATGCTTTTTTACATAGGCTTTAGCTTCCTTTTGCATGTAAGGCCAAAAGAATCGCTACGATATTGCTCTATGG